GGTGGTGATGAACTCCTTTAACTCTTGTCTGGAAAGCTCTTTATCTTGTCTTTAATTTTAAATGGTAGCCTTTGGTGGGTAGAGTAACCTTGGTTGAAGGTTCTTGTTTTTCACCACTTTGAATATTTTGTGCCAATCCCTTCTGTCCTGAAATGTTTCTGTTGCAAAATCAGTTGGCATTCTTATGGGAGATCCCTTGTAGGCAACTGTCTTTCTCTTGCTGCTTTTATGATATTTTGTCTTTACGTTTCTTATTTTAATTATGATGTGTCTTGGTGTGGCCCCCTTTGAGTTTATCTTGTTTGGGACTTTGCACTTCCTGGATTTTATGTCTTTTTCCTTCACCAGGTTAGAGAAGTTTTCAGTCATTAGTTTTTCAAATAGGTTCTCAATCCCTTGCTCTCTCTCTTCTTCTCATACCACTATGATATGAATGTTGTTGCCTCAGAGGTCCCTTAAAAATCCTCACTTTAAAATATATATTTTTTTCTGTTCAGATTGGGTGTTTTCTGCTACCTTGTCTTCCAAATTGCTGATTCAATTGTCTGCTTGCTCTTGATTTGTTCTAGTATTCTTCATTTCAGATACTGTATTCTTCATTTCTGACTGGTTCTGTTTTATGGGTTCTATGTCCTTTTTATTGCTCACTATCTCTTATTGAAGCTCTCCCTCAATTTATTTATTTTCCCCCTAAATTCCTCCAGCATTCTTGTAACTGGTATTTTGAACTCTGTATCTGGTAGATTGCTTGCCTCCATTTGTTCTTTTTCTGGAGATTTCTCCTGTTCTTTCATTTGGGGCATATTTTTCCCTTCAATTCAGCTACCTCTATTTGTTTCCATGTTAGGTAGATCTAGTGTCTCCCAGTTTTGGCAGTGTGGCCTTATGTAGTAGGTGTCTTGTGGGGGCCCCATGGCATAGTGTACCTGGTCACCTGAGTTGGGTGCTCCAGGAATGTCCTCCTGTTATAGTTGAGCTTTGATTGCTGTTGGCATGTGGGTGGGATTGACTCTCAGGCTGACTGGCTGTGAGGACTGGCATGACCACAGTATAAGGACTTTGTGGTTGCTAATCCCATGCAGTGGGATTCACTCCAGTGGGGTCTGCTACCTGCTAAGACCTCCCTTCGGGTGGTCCACTTGTGGATCAAATTGGGTGGTACTTTCTTTTGGTCTGAAGCCGGCCACCTAGTTTGTTAGTTCTGGGGTCTCTTGGGATGGACTCTGGTACAGGTCAATGCTGGACATTCCCCGTGACTGGCCGGGGGCTACCTGTTAGGATCCACAAAGTGGTCTGGAGTTGATAGCTTCCTCTGCTGGGTCTGGTTATCATGGGAGGGGCTGTTTTTTTTTTTTTTTTTTTAAGGTTAAATGTATACAAAGTGAAATGCACTAATCTTAAATGTATCATTCCATAAGTTTTTTTGTTGTTAATCCTCACCTGAGGATATTTTTTCCATTGATTTTTACAGAAAGTGGAAGGGAGGGAGGGATAGGGAAAGAGATATATAGAGAGAAACATTGATGCTAGAGAGACACATCAATTGATTGCCTCCTGCATGCATCCTGACCAGGGCCAGGGATCAAATCTACAACCCAGGTATGTGCCCTTGACTGGGAATTGAACCTGCAACCCTTCAGTGCACAGGCCAATGCTCCAACAACCACTTAGCCACAGGGCTCATTCCATGGGTTTTGACAATGAAACCCAAACCTTATCAAGGATGTTACTGTCACCCCAGAAAGTTCCCTTGTGCCTCATTCCAATCTTCAACACACTTGAGGCAACAGTGTTCTGGTTTTTCTCATCATAGATTAGGTATTCCTCCTCTAGAACATCATAAAAATAAAATCAAATGGTATGTAGGTATTCTGTTGTAATTTCCTTCAATCCACTTTGGACAGTGGGATTCGTGCTCTTGAGACTCATACATGCTAATGTGTATCATACTTTGTTCTTTTTTTTCCTCACGTGAGGACACTTTTCCCTTTATCATTAAATAGAGTGGGAGGGAAAGAGACAGACAGAGGGAAACATTAATGATAGAGCCACATTGACTGGTTGCCTCCTGCACAACCTAACCAGGGCCAGGGATGAACCACAACTGAGGTACGTGCCCTTGACCAGAATCAAACCCACGACTCATTGGTCCTCAGGCTGACACTTTAACCGCTAAGCCAAACCAGTCAGGGCCATACTTGGTTCTTTTTGATTGCTAGGTACAAGGCCATCGTATGGGTGACCACCATTTACTCATCCATTCACATGCTGTTTATTCTCACTTTTCATCTCTTGTGAATAAGCTGTAATGAACATTCCTGTAAAAGTCTTTGTGTAGGCGTATATTTTTATTTCTCTTGTTCAGTTTCATAAGAAATTGCTAGATCTTTTCCTGACGCAGTCTGTTTTTTTTTTTTTTTTTAATCTCCCTTTTAAAAACACAAATGGTAGCATACACTGTTCTGCTTGCTTTTAAAATTTTTCCTCAATAGCGTATCTTGGACAGTCTTCTAACACAGCATATAAAAAATGTCCTACTAGTTCTTTTCAAAAGGAGGGAGATGCTGTAATTTAGCCAGCCCCCTTCTGCTGGACATTTAGATATTTCTAGTCTCAATGAACTAGGCTTTGCAGGACAGAGTGAGGGAAACTGGGTAAAGGCCCAGAGGCTTGCAGAATCCCTACTGCAGGGACATAAGCATTCTGAGTAGAAGCAGCTCCTGACCCATTTATCCCCAGCAGTTCAGTAATCTGTGTTGAGTGGAAAGGATTGTGGAGGTGTGCTGGCAAAAGGCTCTGGGACAGAATGATGGGGAGTCCCAGAGGGTTTGAAGCAGGGGAATGAGGTGTGTGCTGCCACTCAGAGGGTACCCGTGTCGCTCCAGAACCAGGCAGTGGTGAGTGTTTATTTTTATACTGGGGCTTTTGCTGACCCTCAGATGGTGTCACATACCCACCCCCTGACCCTTATATTAGGAAGCCATGCTCTTCCTTGGGCTGACTTCTTAGGCATAGATGGGAGGCTCAACCATTATCCCCACTGCACATGAACTTCCTTCTTCTCAGTGAACTGTGCCCATTTTGGACTTTCGGCAGGAGCGGGCTGGGGAGGGGTATGGGGAGAGGGTGTCAGCAGATAGAGGAAGGTGGTGGGACTGGAGCAGGCCACAGGCAGCATGAGGAGGCTCCTAGGGGTGGATCATGTTTTCCTGAGTCCCTCATTTCTTTCCTGATTAGGCCCCTAGCAGAGGTACCTGCAGACAGGCCCAGAAGCCAAGCAGGATCTTGGAATAAAAAGAGGACCTTAAGTATTTTGTCCTGGCTCTGCTGCTAAATGGCTGCGTGACTTTTGGCCATAATCTATTTCTGCATGCAGTCTCCTTCCAAGGCCTCTAGCTGCTAGGGGATGGGAGTGGTAGATGAGATCACCTGTAAGTGGCTATCACAGTGCCTGCTCCACAGGGAAAAGAAGAGTGTTACTCCTATTACGAGCCGGAGGCACCACTCAACTTCCAGTGCACAGGTGGGAAGTGAGGTGCAGAGGGGCTAGCCTGGCATCACAATGAGCCAAGGTTGTAAAGCCTGGCACCTAAATCATATATATGGCTGCTCAAGTGTGGGTTCTGTTGACTCTGTTCCTAGGTAGGGTGGATCTGCACAGGCAGCAAGAGGTGTAGTGTTTCTCTGGGAGCAGGATGTTTTCCGAGTTTCTGGAGGTTGAAACAGAGCACCCTGCTTGTTTCCACATTTTGCAGTGCTTGCTTGCTGGCTCCTGCCCTGAGCCTCTAAGCCCACTCCTTTGGCCAGCAAGTGTAGAGCGAGCACAGGGCAGACTGACTGCACATCTTATCCTGGTGCAGTCTCAGAGCACACTGTGGATGTGTGGCTTCTGTAGGGGCACGCCCCAACACCTGTCTCTCAAATGGCCCCAGAGGAACATCCTGCCCTGGTCAATACTACCTCAGAGAATGGTGACAGGTGGGCAGGACCTTCCTCCTTAGCTAGGCTCCAGCTTCAGTGCCTCTATCATGGGTCACCGAGGAAGCACCATGCAGAGTGGTGGCAGAGGGCTTGGGTTGAGACCTGTCCAGGATGAGCATGTCAGCTTTGAAATTTGGGTGAATGGGAAGTATTTTTCTCCCTTTACCTTGAAAACATAGCCTGTCATTTAGCTCTGAGTGAAAACCGTTGGAAGACTTTTCTGCATTGCACATTCTAGGGAAGCAGCCATCATGCCTGCCACTGCTGTTCACATGATGCTGTGGTCCAGGGTAAAGTGGAGACTCTCCTGGCTTACCTACAGGTCTGGCCAAGGCCAGCTTCATGATCAGTGACTAGATGTGTACTTATGCCTGTTGTCTCAGCCAAGGGGAAACAACACCCCTTGGCCTGGAGTGACAGAGCCGGGAGGCATGGGGCCATAGGCTTCTGTTAGGAAGATCTGCACCTCACAGGACATAGTGGTTCATTCCTGAAGTCCTAGGAAGGGCTCAAATAGCCTGTACACTGGCCCAGCACCAGGACTTCTGCTCAGTGCTTAAAATTACCAAAAACCTAAGAATGTGGTTGACATGACCACTAAAAAGAAGTTTTCCAGGCATAATGCCTTTCTGAGGAGGAACTTATACCTAGGTGACACCTTGGGCATCCTGCACAAAATCAGGACCCAACCAAGCCCCAAGTGCCTTCTTTCACTGGATTTCTTAGGAATAAAAGAAAATTAAAAAACAAAGCCAGTTTGGCTCAGCGGTTACAGCGTTGGCCTGCGGTCCAGAGAGACCCAGGTTCGGTTCCCGCTAAGGGCGCATACCTCGGTTGCAGTTTGTCCCTGGCCCTGGTTAATCGTGCGGGTGGCAGCCACTCGATGTGTCCCTTTCACGTCGATGTTTCTCTCCCTCTCTCTCTCTCCCTCCCCCTCTATCTGAACAAAAAATTGAAAAATTCCCTCAGGTGAGGATTAAAAAAAAACAAAAACCAAAAGAACATGAGCAAATGGTTTGTAAAAAGTTGGCTTTATTTGTTACTTTTTCACCTTATCTCAGTCATGCCATTTTGGTGTCCACAGTGACAATCCCTGGAAGCTGAGGTCAGCCCCAACCCACTGTGGTCATTAATCACAGAGCACCAACCTAAACCTCACAGGGCCCTACTGATGGATACAGGCTGCAGGTAGGGCTCTGGGATTCCTGCCATGAGGCCCAGCACCACAGCCCATGAGCCTGAGGACTGTTGCCCTGCCTGCCAGAGGCCCCAGCATTTTCATGGGTAGGGCCAAGCAGACCAAGTGCAGGGGAAGCATCATGTCTCAGCTCAGGACTGGGTCTAACAAGGCCACGTGTGATATGGTGGTACACTTTGGACTGGGGATGAACAGACCAGCCAGGCCCATCCTGGTTCTGTGGTTGACTTGCTGGGTGGTTTTAAGCAAGCTGCTTCTTATTCTTTGGTCAGTCTGTTTTCTGGTTAGCACTGCCAGAGAGAACTCCTATGGGCCTTTCTGACTCAGGTAGGTATCAAGTTTGCCACCTCTACTGAATCAGGACCATGTCTCTGTGCTTCAGAAGCCACTGTATACCTGCTGCTGGTGGGATGTCGCTCTCCACAGGGCTGCACTTACTCCTGATGCTCCCTTTTTAGAACTGGAGCTTCCTCCAGCAAGAATCCCTCAGGCTTGCAGTGCCCAACTCTGCTGTCCCTGCTGCCAAACACTGCCAGGAACCTGCCCCCTAAGAGGGACCTCCCTAAAGGCCTTAGAAAAGGTTCCAATTCCTAAGATCTAGATTACCTGTTATTTCAGACTTATTTTATATATAATCACGAGTCTTTTTATATCAAACATTAGAGTAACTTATCAAAAACACAAGCTCTCTGACCCTGACTGCATTACAAATCTTGGGCCTGAGCCCTTCTCTCCTGGGGAACTTGAGAGATCAGTGGCATCTTGTCATTTACCTTACTTGCATTTGGTCCTAAGCACAGTAAAAAAGTTCTGAAAATACAAGTGGGAAGTTTTCAGCCTAGAAAAAAGTGGTGGCCTGTGACACCAAGTAAATCATTGTTTCTCCATACCTACCACAGTACCTCCCCTTGCTAGGGCTGAGTGGGGGAGTGAAGGAACCATGGGGGACCAGGTCCAGTGACAATGTTTGCCTAGCTTGGCAAGGCACAACTTTATAAAGTTAAAAATCCCAAACTCACCCCAGCCGGTGGCTCAGTTGGTTGGAGCACTGCCCCATACACCAAAAAGGTTGTGGATTTGATTCTCCGTCAGGGAATATACCTACCTAGGTTGTGTGTTTAGATCCCCAGTCGGAGTGTGCATGAGAAGCAAATGATCGATGTTTCTCTCTCTCTCCCCTCCTTCCCCTCTTTCTAAAACTCAATAAACATATCCTCAGGTAAGGAATAAAAAAAAGTTAAAAAAATCCCAACCTTACCTGCAGAAAAAAGAAACAGATAGCCCAAAATGTCTGTCAGGAAATTCATTCCTCTTTTAGAATAAGCTCTGTCCTAAAAAACTACTTTTAAAAGAGAAGACGGTTGTGTCTTCCAGAGAACAAGTTTTAAGTAGATGTTCCTACTCCTGACCATGAGGGGACAAGCTAGTGAGTCACCCACATCTACCAGAAAACACATGGTCTGCTCCCAGCCTCACAATAAAAAGAAGTCCTTTTAACAATGTTTGTGCTTCTAACCAATAAGACATTCCCTTATGGGGGAACAGCCGGGATAACTGCAGCCGCCTATGGCACTGAGGAGGTGCAAAGGTTAAAACAAAGGTTACATAGACACATGAGGACAGTCATTTATCCTCCCAACCTCTGGCCTTCAGCTAACTAAAACCTCACTTCTAGTTATTTTGCCAATGCCAGAAAAGCAAAATTTCAAATTGGAAATTTCTAGCACTTTACAAAGTGGAAAGAATATAAAATTAAAAAAAAAAAATTAAACAAAGGTTCACATGCCACAGCAGTACCCCATGATGGATTTGTTGTTTCTCCTTCCTTGGCATTTCCAGAGCATGGCTCCTCTTCCTGGTCCAGGGAAGACATGGCTCAGAACAGAAGGGCCCCCATGCTGCCGACCTCGCTCTGCTCCTTTACAAAGATTTCAAAGTACTGATAGATGATTGTGACCGCAAGCAGGATCCCAGTTCCAGATCCAATGGCACCCAGGAAGTCAGCCAGGACAGACAATGCCCCAATACACAGCCCCCCAAAGGCAGCAGCAGTGGGGATGTACCTGGGGAGTGGAAGATGGGTCAGTAAGGTACCATGATTCAGATACCTCCGGCATGGCCCGCCCCTGACTCAAGCTACCTGTCTACAGGGCTGGGCAGTCTGACATGCTTACCTCTGATTTAAGACCCTAACTCCTGTAGAAGTCATTCTGCTATCTCCTTGAAACTTTACCTGTTCATATACCTTAATGTTCTAAACTAGGGCTACTGTACAGTAAATGGCCATATAAGCCACACGTGGCTAGTGAAATGTGACTAATCCAAGCTGAGATATTAAGGGTTTCACATGAGATTTTGGAGAAAAGAACATAAGATATCTAATGATTTTTCTTACATTAATTATAAATGTTTACTTTTTGAATGTATTAGAAAATTTAAAATTTCATATGTGGATTGCATTTTATTTCTCCCTGAACAATGTGCTGTAAATCTAAAGGCTTTGGAGAATTCTCATTAAGAGAATGAACAAAATTGCCTACTGCCCCTGCTAGGGATCAAAAAAAATCTAAAATTTGCAATGCTGATTTTCTTGTGGACACAGTCCTTTTCTATCTTGTAACCAAGAATAAGATTTAATTAATCAGAAATCCCTAAGCCCTATCAACATGCTTGATGTGTAAGAAAACCACAATTATAACCACTAGGTCCTAGGGCCAGCACTCACCGATTGAGTTCATGGACCATGGAAGTCTCTCGGTGGCCCCTCATGACCATCTGTTGCTCCTTCAGCTGCTTTGCAACCTGCATGATGCCCGAAGGAAAGACAATGTTTAACTTAAAGTTGAAATTGAAAGCCAGGTAGATATCTTATGGTAGCACTAAACACAGGTTTCCTTCTTTAGCATCTTAACAATATTTATACAGATAATTTATAAACTGCTACAAAGAAGTCATATGACAAAGTCTAGTTTTAGTTTTGCTTCAGCTCCCCAGGTGAGCACTAATTTATTACTGGGCTCTGTCTGTGGCCATAAACGCTTCAGCCGAATGTGTGTGTTCACAGATTATATATAACAGTCAAAGGTGAGAGCTAGTGTTTCCTGATTTAACTAAATTGTAACTTATACTTACATCTTTGGCAGAGGAGCCTGAGACCTCGATCCATGTTTTGGAGAAGAATGCACATGAGCCCAGCATGAACACTATGTATACAATGGCATGGACAGGGTCTTCTAACACAGAGCCAAAAGATTCTGGAGGGGACAGGTAATAGCAAAGGCCACCAACTGGATAAGCACGTGCTGGACCCCCAGAAGACGTATCCTGGGAAGAATATACAGAAAGCCTGTGAGTGCTGTTTCATTATACCTTAGCATAAGAACAAAAGTAGTTGTGAGCAGATGAAAATTTTGCTCAAGTGTCCATAGTATAGTTTTCTTACTGAAAGGAAAATTTAATGTGCTGAATTTGTAAAAGGCATGATTACAAAATATCTTTAGGTGGTGTGTAGGAGGCAGCCAATTAACATTTCTCTCTCATCGATGTCTCTCTCCCCTCCCCTCTAAAAAAATCAATGAAAACATATTAAAAAGCAAACAAAGACACCAAAACAAAAACTGATTTCTTCAAGCAGTTATACTTACAGACCAGGTGCCCAGCAGGCTGACCAGCAGGTTGCCACTAAAGCGGGCTGACAACATCTGGGAGATGACGTATAGGTTGGACACCAGGGCAGATTGCAGGATGATTGGGATGTTGGAGGTATAGAAGAGCTTAATAGGGTAGGTGTTATACTGGCCTCGGTAACGAGCCGACTTGATGGGCAGGTCCACTCGGAAGCCCTGAGAAGCCAAACAGAGCAGAGCACTGATCACCCTCAGTGCGGACAGCCAGACTGATACTAGTTCCAGGGCTCTCATGCCCCTTCCTGACTCACCACTGCACTTGGAGCACTTTAACAGAGTGTTCCCAGAAAGACAGGCTTAAATAATGCACCAAAGCCCAGCACAGTGGAATAATTCTGTTTTTGTCAAAAACAAACAAACGCCCAAAAACAACAACTCCAAGTCCATCACATTAAATCTGCATCAATGTAGAATATTCAAGAGCCTAAAGGACACATGCTGCAGTAAGTCCTAACAGTGGTTCTCTTTGGTGGTTAGCTCTCCTGTGCTTTTACATTGGCCTTAAGACAAGGCCACTATGGCCTCCGCCTCACACCCCAGAGCAGCCCTTTATGATGTTAAATCATAAACAGAAAAGCTAAGCTCTTCTATGAATACAGCCTCTGCCTCTGAAACCCTTGGAAAATGGAAAGGTTTTCTTTTACATTATTTTTAAAAACTCCCAGTGCCTAGAACAGGACTCAAAATATAGAGGATTTAAGCCCAGCTGGTGCGGCTCAGTGGCTGAGTGTCAACCCATGCACTAAGAGGTTGCCAGTTTGATTCCTGGTCAGGGCACATGCCCAGGTTGTAGGCCCAGTCCCCAGTTGGGGGCATGTAGGAGGCGAATGATCGATGTTCTCTCTCACTGATGTTTCTCTCTCTTCCTTTCCCTCTCTAAAAAACAATAAAGAAAAAAAAATTTAATGTTTCTAACTATATATATACACATACATACATATATGCATATATATGTGTGTGTATGTGTGTGTGTGTGTGTGGATGTGTATATATATATATATAACTAAATTGGATTTAAAATAAAATTTTAATCTAACTACAAATACCCACCAGGCTCATGGTGGTACTACAGCTAATAAGGCATCTGATTAAATCTCAGCTGAAGGAACAGACCTGTCTGGTCCTCAGAAAAAGCACTAGGCTGATATAATAATTACTTTTCCATAAGCACAAATCTGTCTTCTCCACTGCCATCCCTTCTTTTCAATAAACATCAGAATACAGCCCGGCCAGTGTGGCTCAGTGGATTGAGTGTTGTCCCATGGACTGAGGTCCCGGTTTGATTCCCGGTCAGGGCATATACCCAGGTTGTGGGCTCGATCCCCAGGAGGGGGTGTGCAGGAGGCAGCTAATCAATGTTTCTCTCTCTCAAAAAAATCAATAAAAAATATTTTTAAAATATCAGACTACAAAGTGGCTGATGAAAAATATAAAGACGAATCCAACCACAAAAAAGTAACTGACAGCTCAGGTCTCTTATTCAGAAGCAAGTGACACAGACTACCAATTTAAAAGATAAGAGCTCTCAAGAGGAAGGGCCTTTTCTAAGATGACACTACCTACAACTCTGGGTAAGATGGAGATGAGGCTTTAGAGCTTGATGACTTTTCACTTCTCTTGAACTAAAAACTTTTTTTTTTTAATCCTCACCCGAGGATATTTTTCCATTTTTTGTACAGATAGAGTGGGAGGAAGAGAGAGGAAGGGAGAGAGAGTGAGAAACATCGATGTGAAGGGACACATCGAGTGGCTGCCACCCGCACGACCAACCAAGGCCGGGGACAAACTGCAACCGAAGTACGTGCCCTTAGTGGGAACCGAACCTGGGTCTCTCCGGACCGCAGGCCAACGCTCTAACCGCTGAGCCAAACTGGCCAGGGCTTGAACTAAAAACTAAAAGATATATCTTCTTTATCTGTTGCTAGTTCCAACCCAAAGAGCATAATTTCAGAAATTTTACATCTGCCTCAGTTTTGTTTAGTTTAGGTAGGTCCTCATGACTCAATGGAACACACTTGTCTAGCTCACATGGGAACTTCCTGCTCCTTTCAAATGCAATCCCACCACTTCAATACTATATGATGATGCACACCACCCCTGGGGTATGGATGGGGGCATACACTCTAAGGCATCCCAAAACTTAAATTGGATCTCCCTGGGGTGGGTCTGGACGCACCTGAAAATAGATGACCACTGCAAAGACAAAAATGGTAGCAATCAGATTCATGAGGTTGGGGAGGTTCTGGCGGTAGAAGGCCTCTCGAAGGGCTCGGACCTTGTCAGTACGTGTGGCCAGCAGATGAAACAGTGCAATGATGGCACCTTCAAATTCCATCCCTGTCGGTAAAAGAGGGGACACGTGGTAAAGAGACAAACAGCTTCTTAGTGGCCAAAAGAGAGAGGGGAAAAAAACTAGTTTTAAGATTCATGGTGCCTACTCGTATAACCACAGGGGTACAGTGGTGTTTTCTCATCCCTCATTTGTTTCTTCTGTAGAGATTTCACTTGCAGAATTGGGTTATTCTACCTTTTGAGTTAGCTCATTTCATTGGCATGTGAGTCAATGGCCACCAGATGTGTGTAATGATAACCAATTATAAAATTACAAAAGCAAGATCTGTTGAACTTCAGCTGAAGAGGTCCTATACAGAAGAGCAGGCTTAGAGCTGCCCCATTCATTTCCTGGAAAAATCCAGGCAGTAGAGCATCCCCAGCTCTAAGTGCAGACTGCCTCAAGGTGAGGCTTGATTTCTTGCTCCTTACATTGATGATTAAGTGGAAAGGACAACATGCATGCCTACCACATGGTCTGATCCAGTCAGAGTATACATCCCATATGAAAGGGTGCTGACTACAGCCAGGAAAACAGAGCCAGGAAGCAGAGCAAGAATGGGTACATGATCTGAGGACTAGGCAGCAGGGCACAAGTGAAAGGAAGTTGGGGAGCATGGGGCATTAATAAAGCCTAGAAATCTTATAAAGTTTCAAGAAATTTACTTAAGTTAAAAAAAAACAGTCCAAAAAAACCCCAGCCAAAGTGAGCAACAGGAGCACTGTATTACTTTATGTCCTTCTAGGACAGTGTAACTATATCCCACAATGAAAGTCTGGCCTCATGCAGGGAGCCAGTACTATGTGCAGAGCTGTGTTCTGGGGGCAGGTGGGAGGTCCTGGTATCAGTACTGTGAAGTACACCTCCATACTGCTTTGTGAAGGTACTTTTCTCAAGTTTTTAACACATGGAACTGCCTGCTGTTTCTCCTCCTGGCTGTTCCTGGACCATTTGGAGATACTGGCATCAGTGCTGATCTCTTTTGAAGCCTCCGGGATGGGCTTCTGCGGAAGCACTCTGTTCTAACTACCAGTGCTTCCTCAGTTCCCATTCTCTCTTCCTTTTTGTCAGCTGACAGCATTGGCCTGTTTAACCAATGGGCAGAATTCAGAGAACTTAAAACTGGAGCCAGGACAAAGTCTTATTTCATAGAGGATGACACCTGGGTTGCTGGGAAAGAAAAGGAACCTGTTCATACTCTGCCCACTCTCAACATTCTCCTATTACCTCTGTGATCTCAGCTGACTACTCTCCCCCTTGTTCATTCTGTTGCAGCCACATATGCTGACCCTGATATCATACCAGGTACATTCCTACATCAGGCTGGTTCACCCCAAATGAAACATTCTTCCCCAGTCATAGGATTCCCTGCCCTCTTTGATTACCCAGACTAACCCTGTAACAACACTCTTGGCATTCCCATCTTCTTTGTCCGCCTTCTTGTTCTCCTTGGTACCTGGAGTTAACACCTGACATACACATAACACATGGCTTACTCATGTTGTATTCCCAGTGCCTAGAACAGTGCCTGCCTGACCCTTAATAGGCACCTGGTAAGTACTTGTTGAATGAAAGGCAATGCTAGGGTTAGGCTCTAGTTCTCTTTAATTTTTAACAAAATTGTATCTTGAAATTCACTACCTGCAGAATCTTGGAATAAGTGCCTCTAAGTGTTAGTTTTACTTTGGGCAAAAGCTGTTTTGTAGCTGTCCCTGTAATCCCCACTTGTCCAGGGAAACAGCAATGGTTACTCTCCCAGACCTGTGAGGGTCTCAGTCAACAATGCATTTCCATGTTGCCAAGCCAAGCTGCAGATGTAGCTGCCATGCTGCCTTCTCAGCCTTGTGACCTTTGTGAGCTCTGCTCTTCTCCCAGTCCTTGTGACCTTAATCTTCTCCCTTTCCCTTCGCTCCTTGGCAAGCATGGCAGGCTCACAACCTCACTCACTACCCACATGCACGTGGCTGTAGTATCACTCCTCCTGGCGGCAACTTCTCCAGCCAGTTCTCAGACACTCCCAGTTGATATCATGACACTTTAAAGCCAGAAACAAACCCACCTTTGTTGTCAAGATTGAACAATTATTAAACTGTGTTCTCTGTCTTCCGCTCTAATCTGGGTGAATTTTCCCCTCCAGATTCCAGTTCCCATCACCTCACTGGCATGCTCCTGAACGGAAGGTGGCTGCTAGGCTCCACTTTGGCTCCGTCACAGCATCACTTCTTCATAAGTCAGGATGTCCTCCAGTCCAGTTATAGTATGATCTTGCCATACACCTGAACTCCTATCCTTCATCCTCCTGCCTTTCACACCCATCCCTGAACATCCCTGCCTACTGTTCCCTAGTCTCCCCATTTGCCTTGCATTTCCTACAGTTCCAGAAAATGCCCAGGGAGAAATCTTGCCTACTCTTCTCTGACATTCCCTATCTATAACTATTCTCTTTTTTTGGTAATCTGTTTGGCACACGTGGCTTTCATGTGCCCAGGTATCTAGTTTCAGTGTTACTGAGATTATGTGGTCTCTGGAGCCATTCAAGTCAAAGAAAACACTCAAATGTGCATGAACATTTTTTTCTCACAGGATTCTTACAAGTAAATAACATATTTAGTGATGAAAAATGCCAACTGTCTTTCCTAATAAGTCATACTTCCTTATATGTTTAGAAATTATTAAAAACATTCTCTGAAACAAGATGTCCTTGGCACCCTTCATGGGTATAGCATAGAATACTAACATTTCATAGGCATCTACTATGGGTCGGGCATCACATCATTTTATATTATTTCTCATTTCATCCTGACAACTGAGGCTTAGAGGTAGAGGGATTTGCCCAAAGCCACTTATGTACTACTAATAGGAACAGCCAGGAGGTGAACTCCAAGTTCAGGTCTCTTTCACAATGTCGCCCCTTGCATAAACAAACAGATGCGTTGGTAGATTCAGTGATTTCATTTTAGAAATGTATTCACTTAGAGCAACTGCCAAATACATAAACATGAACATATGAGGCTGTTCACTGTTTCTATTGTAATAACAACCAAAAATGGAAATGACCTACATGTCCATCAGAAGACTGGCTATATAAATGCTCCTTCACCCTTGCCATGAAGTCTATATTGTGCTAGAAAAGATGAGGCAGGATTCTGTATTCTGGCACTGCAAATGTCTGTGACATACTCTGAGGTGGAACATGTAAGTTATATATCATTATGAGCAGAAGCCTGTCTGTGCTTAAAATTTTGCGGATGCACACAGAAAAATTTGAAGTAATGTACCTAAAATGGAGCTACTTCTTTCTTGGAATGGGGAACTTTCGTCTTCTGCTTTGCACATGTCCATATTTTTACTGACCCTTACCTCGGCCAGTGTTGACAGTGGTGGGGCTGAATGCTTTCCACACGATGGTCTCACAGATGTTAGTGGCAATAAAGAGGGAGATACCAGAGCCCAGGCCATATCCTTTTTGCAGAAGTTCATCCAAAAGTAGGACAATTAAGCCAGCAACAAAGAGCTGTAAAAATTAAAAAAAAAAAAAAAAAGTAAAGAAACCCATCTAGACTGCATTCCTGCTCCCTACAGGCATTGCTGTTTCCTTCCCTAGTAAGGGGCTTCTCTGATATAAATGCTGAAGGCTGTGGAAGCGATACAGCAGAGCCTTCCTCTGGTGAGTTTAGAAGGGCCAACACAGGTGCTTTGGCTCCTTCTCAGTAAAAGTTTATTTTATACATGGTTTAGGTTTGTTATTTGGGAAGTCTAAATGAGTGTGAGGAGCTACTCAGAAAGGGGGAATGTTAGCGTAACAATTACCTGAATGGTGATTAACAGGCAGATTCCAGCACCCATTTCAGAAGGGTCGCCATACATTCCCGTCATCACATACACAATTGACTGGCCAATGGTAATGATCATGCCAAATACTAGAAATCAAAAGAAAATTATGTTCTCAAAGTAGGACATTACATAGTCAGTCATAGGGGAAAGTTATTGAACTGTTACAAGGCACCAAGAACAAAGATGAAAAATACTGATACTGCCCTGGCTAGTTTGGCTCAGCAGTTACAGCGTCAGCCCATGGACCAAAGAGTCGCAGGTTTGACTCCTGGTTGGGGTTGTGTGGGAGGCAACCAATTGATATCTCTCTCTCACACTGCTGTCTCTCTCTCTCTCTCCCACTCTATCTGAACATAAATAGAAAAAATATCCTTGGGTGAGGATTTAAAAAACAGGATACTGATTTACCACCATGGCCAGTGTGGCTCAGATAGTTGAGCCTTGTCCTGTACACTGAAAGGTCACCAGTTTGATTCCCAGTTAGGACACATGCCCAGGTTTCGGGTTCAATCCTCACTCAGGGTGAGTGCCGGACTCAACTGATCGATTTTTCTCTCTTACATCAATGTTTCTCTCTCTTTTCCCCCCTCTAAAATCAATAAAAATATATTTAAAAAAATATTGATACTGCTTCCAAGAAACACATAACAGTCACATCCTCAAAGTACACGACTACTTAAATGCCTGTTAACAGAAGCAGGTGAGTTTCTTAATTTCATCTCCTAAATTCACTTACCTTTCAGTGACAGAAAGAGGAAGAGTTGGAACATGACAAATCTTTTCTTATGGAAGACAAATCAGGGAGCAAAATCTAACAAAAACAGCATTCCGAGGCACAGTTTGGTGATGTTACAAATGCACACCATCCAAACTCAGATCAGGTTACTTGGGTTCTGGAGAGCTCCTGAGTTGAACTACATGCCTGGGCAACCTCTGTAAGCTTATTATCCAGGTCTCAGTCCAGAACACAGATGATTAACTCTGGGATAACACTTGTCCCATTTCCTCTACCACAAAGGTCTGCTGGCCTAATGCAGCGTTTACTTTTGTAGACTGTCTTCATTTCTTTCTTTTTTAAAAGTCCTCACCAGAGGATATTTTCCCATTGATTTTTAGATAGGGGTGGGGGAAAGGGAGGGGGAGAGACAGAAAGAGAAAGAGAAAGAGAGAGAGAGAGAGAGAGAGAGAGAGAGAGAGAGAGAGAAAGAGAAAGATATCAATTGGTTGCTTCCCATACAACCCTGACCAGGGCAAGGGATCGAACTGCAACTGAGGTATGTGCCCTTGACCAGAATAGAACCCATGACCCTTTAGTACACAGGCTGACACTCTAACTGCTGAGCCAAACCTGCCAGAGCTGTCTTCTTATATCATTATACTTCATTGTTAGGTAAAATAGAATTGACACATTTTTACTGGTTCCACAATACCAGATGAATCTCTGAAGCAGGGTGTGGGCTTAAAGTTCAGCTTTTCTGGTTCGTTTGTCACACCTGATTAGCAAAATAAAACTGTACTCCATAGTGCCCATCAAATGTAATCCTTATTTGACTTTTTAAAAAATTGCTCAAGCCCTGGTCAGTCTGGCTTAGCGGTCAGAGCATCGGCCTGCGGATCAGAGAGACCCGGGTTTGGTTCCCGCTAAGGGAACGTACCTCGGTTGCAGTTTGTCCCCGGGCCCCGGTTGGGGTTGTGCAGGAGGCAGCCACTCGATGTGTGCCTCTCACATTAATGTTTCTCTCTCTCTCTCTCTCTCTCTCTCTCTCTCTCTCTCTCTCTCCCACTCTATCTGAACAAAAATGGAAAAAAGTCCTTGGGTGAGGGTAAAAAAAAAGCTAAAAAATTGCTCAATGACACTGAATTCTCAAGGCAGAAGAAATTTTAAAAATAATCAAGACCAAAGAAAATAAGGCAATTTATGCTTTTGAAAAATAATTCATGTATTTATTTTATTTAAAAAAGCTTAAAAATGTTTTTATTAATTTTTTAGAGAGAGGAAGGGGGAGGGAGAGAGAGAAACATTGAGGTACATCAGTTGGTTGCCTCCTGCATGCCCCCTACTGGGGACTGGGCCCCCAACCTGGTCATGTGCAAGGGATGATGCTCAATTCACTGAGCCACACTGGCTGGGCCATGTGTTTATTTTAAAATCCTGATTTGTGCCTGAAACTGACAAGTTTAAATTAGATTGGTCTTTTTCACTCAATTACTTAATCTAACCTACTAAGTAAAAAAGATTTCTTTCAGCCCTCAGTGGTTACAGCATTAACCTGGACATCAAAGGGTTGCGGGTTCCCAGTCAAGGGTGTGTCTGGGTTGCAGGTTTAATCCCTGATCCTGGTCTTGTTGGGTGTGGGAGGCAAACAACTGATGTGTCTATCTCACATTGATGTTTCTGTTTCTCTTACTCTCTCTTTGTCCCTGCCCCTTTCCTCCCTTCCACTCTATAAAAATCAATGGAAAAAAATATCCTCAGGTGAGCATTAACAAAAAGATTTCTTCCACATGCTGGTGTGGAAAACAATATGGCTGGGTAGAAAACTGTAAATATCACCTCCTAATTAATATATTTCATTTCAATCAGAGGCTGAACATGAATCATTCTGATGACTAGTCAATGTTATTAGTGACACTTATTTGCTATGAGGCATATTATTCCCATTTTTCCAGATGAAGAAACTGTCATGTAAGAACCGTCATCTAACTTTGTCCAAAAGCCATAAAGCTAGTAAATATAACTGGGTTGAAAGAATCACCTTTCAAAAAAAAAAAAAAAAAAGAAAGAATCACCTTTCCCCAAAATTAAATGTTTTTAAGCTCGAAGATGAAAAACACCAACTGCCAAATACCTATTATGTGCCAGGCACTGAGAGATGGCACCATGGCCCTCTCAGAAGTGCTTTCTTTGTTTTTCTTAAATCATTTTTCTTTCTTGATTTTAGAGAGAGAGAAAGGGAGAGGAAGAGAGAGATAGAACCATCGATGAGAGAGAACACTGATTGGCCGCTTCCTGCATGTCCCCCACTGGGGATCAGGCCCACAACCTGGGCATGTGCCCTGACCGGGAATTGAACTGGCGACTTTTTGGTGCATGGGTCAATGCTCAACCACTGAGCCACACTGGCTGGGTTGCTTTTTAAGGATTATAAATCTATATAGTTTTATTAAGAGAGAAACTGACAGTATAATGAAGTCTACATTTAAACATAGTTTTCACAAAAAACTAACAGATGCCTAAAAAGATTTACAATGGAGTTCTACATGCAGGTCTAGATAATGTCAAGAGCTGATGGATCTCATGAGTCAAGACAGCATTTGAGGTATTAGTTAACTTTTAGGATTAAAAAAAATTTTTGGACCTGGCTGGTTTGGCTCAATGGTTAGAGCATTGGCCCTCAAACCAAAGGGTCGTGGGTTTGATTCGGGTCAAGGGCATGTACTTGGGTTGCAGGTTCAATCCCCAGCCCTCGTTGGGGTTGTGCAGGAGGCAACCAATCAATGTATCTCTCTCTCTTTCTAAAAGAAAAAAAAAATCAATGTAAAAATATCCTCGGGTGAGGATTAAAAAAAATTTTTGTTTTGTTTTGTGTGTTAAAGTGAACCGCTATCCCAGTATGAAAGTTTAATCTTCTCCTGAGACCAGGGCTTTTGAAATAGTCCAACTCTTGCCCGACTGGTGTGGCTCGATGGTTGAACATCGACCCATGCACCAAGAGGTCGCCAGTTCAATTCACGGTCAGGGCATATACCCAGGTTGTAGGCCCAATCCCCAGTGGGAGTCCTGCAGGAGACAGCCAATCGATGTCCTCTCATCAATGCTTCTCTCTCTCTCCCTCTCCCTTTCTCCCTAAAGTCAATAAAGAATACGCATAACCAATGGACATGGTCAACAAAGCTGGGGACGGGGTGTGGGGAAGGGGAGGAGGGTGTCAATTGGGTAAAAAAGGAGAAACATCTGTAACAAAAATAAAATTAAAAAAGAAAAAAAAAAAAAGTCCAACTCTTGAAGTGATTTGATGAACTTGTGCTGTCAGTGACTGCCACCAATATTTCACAGTTCAACATTAAAAAAACAGAGAGGCGCCCTGGCTGGGTAGCTCAGTTGGTTAGAGTATTGTCCCAATATGCCAAGGTTGTGGGTTCAATCCCTGATAAGGGCACATACAAGCAGCACCCAATGAATGCATAAATAAGTGGAATAACAAATTGATGTTTCTGTTTCTCTCCTTTCCTCTTTCCTAATAAAAACAAAACAGCAGCCCTGGCCAGTTTGGCTTAGTGGTTAGAGCATTGGCCTGCAGTCCCGAGAGACCCGGGTTTGGTTCCCGCTAAGGGCATGTACTTTGGTTGCAGTTTGTCCCCAGCCCTGGTTGGGTTGTGTGGGTGGCAGCCACTCGATGTGTCCCTTTCACGTCGATGTTTCTTTCTCTCTCCCTCCCTTCCATTCTATCTGAACAACAAAATGGAAAGGTGTCCTCAGGTGAGGATAAAACAAACAAACAAACAAAAAACCAAAACAAAACAACAATAACAAAACCCCAAAAAACAAAAGACAAACAGAGAGGCTCCAAGAGTTTTCCACCTTAAGAGCATGGACCTTTCTCTTTACTCTCACACCTCCTATGCCACCCTCTTCCCCTCCCCAAATAATTCAGCCAGTGGTTTGCATGGACAAACTGATATTTATAACTTCATAATCAGAACAGAAAGGGTCTTCTTGTCAATTTCAGGAACAAGCACCTCTAAGACAGAATAACCTACCTATATGTATGCTCTAATAAAAGACTTTCTTTTCTCAACCAATTTCCATTCCCAATTTGGAAGCTTTGTTAACTTATCAACTAGCTTAGTCCTTTATTAAGAACAGTTCTCAGGCAGGAGCGCCTTGGTTTATAAGTTTCAGGTACTCACAGCTTTTAAACAGTTTCTTACAGTCCTCATTTAGATGGCCAATGACATTTTTTGAAAAGATAATATATTCTGGGCACAGAACCAAATCATTAGTTGTTTGTTCTTGCCATTGTTTCACCATTTCCCCAACCAGGCCCCAAATTATAACAAAAACAATCCTACCCATCTCCTTTCCCACCTCACCCTCCCACCCACAAATACACCTGTAATAGTAAAAAACTAAATACTTGCTATACACTGTAAAAATGCAGTCAATACTACATTGGGAAAAAGGCTGTGCACTATGGAGATACTCTTTGAAGATCTACAGTATCTTTTTGCTCTCCTACACTCCCATTCTGTCAGTTTTGTCCTTCACAGAAGGTCCTTTACTTTTCTCAGCAAAGTGCAGAATAGGTTGCCTTAAAACACTTATCTTCTTTCACCTCTTTTGGGATGGGTATGCAAACTATACAGCATGGAATGGCTTTAAAGCACTGGGGCTGCTATAGGGCACCGAAACTATACTGGCTCTTCAAAGGATACCTCCTCAAGCCAGCTCTAGGGTGTCAAGACAAATAGAACTCCTTCCCCTCCCCACTTGAAATCCAGTCAGATGTGACAGGGGCTGGTAGCAGGAGAGTCCATTCTTGTCCTCTTTTTTGTCATCATATTCCAAGGGGTAGGAATGCCCCATCGGCCTTTCCTCATAGAAGGATATGACAGCCTGGGGGCACTTGACATTGGCTTCTTTGGCAGGGACCAGGTAAACCTCATCAAAGTTTTTCCATTTCATCTGGAACATGAGTCCTCCACTGGATTCTGCAGTTCCAATAATCCGCTCCGCCTCCAAACCCTGGGCAAAGCCTCAAAGCTTTTCCAACTCTTCTTTGATTTGCTCTCCTCTCCCTTAGCTTCAGAATCAGAGTCAGCTTTGTGCTTGAGTCCTTCTGATTTATCCAATTCATATGATGTTTTTTGTAACTGTGTAAACTCAGCAATAAGGTCGGGGCAATTCAGGTTCTCTTCTTGTTCCCATGTGTTGTCCTCATCTGAGAACGCCTTCCATTTTAGCAGGTACTCCACTTTGCCCTTTACCAGTCCATGGTTGAGAACTTTTCCCACCATATGCTTCTTTCTTCTCTTCTAGCACCTCCTCCACTTTCTTCTTGTTTTGTTTCTTCCCCATAGTGTCCACTGGATTTCTGGTAAAGGATGACACTGCTCAGAGCAGTGCCCAAGAGTATGAGAGGAATTGGGGCCACGCTACTGGCACATTTCATTGGGCAGGCTGGAGGAGTGGTGCCCAGAAAAGCAACAGGCCAGGTGGCCACAACTGAGCCTGTCACTGAAGTGGCATATCACGGGCCTGGCCAACGGCCTGCCCAAGGAAGTGCTTTCTTGCTAACACAGACCACAGAGTACCTGCAGGGTTGGTGGGCAAAGGAAGTTACACTGTACAAAAAAAAAACAAACTGTTTTGATGCCCCAAACTTCACAGCAAATTCAAATTCTCAACTATAGACATTTGAACATCATTCAAAATCTCACTTACACTTTTGGGCTCCATTGAAGAGGGCTCGGTCTTTTGGTGTGTCACCAACTTCAATTATTTTGGCACCAGCCAAGAGCTGCATGATGAGGCCAGAGGTGACAATAGGAGAAATACCCAACTCCATCAATGTGCCTGAGGGACAGGGGAGGCAAAACACAGCCCATATTAGCTTGGAAAAGCAATTATATTATTAAGAAAATGAATGAGGAAAATCTGACTGTGTACTCCTTATACAAATCCATTGTGCTTTAGTTTGCCAGTAGCATTTAATTTAGAGACCTCAAAATATCAACAATTACAGTAAAATCAAATTCTTTCTGTTCAGTCTGCCAGACCACATCTTATTGTTTCAGAAGTCACATGGCCTTTAAACAGATAGCTGCACTTAAATTCCCCATAAACAGAATCATTCTGGTTTTACAGAAATAAGAAAGGTTTGTCTCTTCATCAGTTAATAAAAAAGATAACATTCAAATAATTCCCAGATTTGGAAAAGGAAGCCTGTATAATTGTATTTAGTTGTGAATAAACTTCTACTTCCATTATACTAAAATACTTCCAAGTGATTTTAAACTTAATTTCAACCATGTTTAAAAAATAGATTAACCAAAAGTAGTACTGACATACACATTCAAAATTCTCCCCTCTAAAGTAATTAGAGTGCTACTTATTTTTTGACACATATATGTAACCTATAGATATGAAAAAGATGCAGCTGAGAAACAAATTACATATTCTAAAGGTTATCAAAACATAAGACAGCTAGAAATATTATTATTTCAGTTGTTTAAAACATTCTAGTTTTCCCATTTTAAAACATTCTCTGACATAGACTTAATCTTGTTATTACAGGTTTTGTACTACATTCATATGCAATTCTGAACATGATGATATGCCTTGGTGCTGAATTTGGCATTTACTAAGGCTATTCAGCACAGCATACTAACATGCTTTCCAAACACTCTCTAAACTCCACATAAAGTCAAAGCCTGCAATTTAACTAAAGGAGGTCAGTCAAGCCCACATTGTATAGACAGAGGCACAGAGAGCAAAAGTTCTACCTCTATTAGAGGCTAGGATCACTCTTATCCAATAGAAAGGGTCGGCAGAATCTGAAGACATAATACCAAACAGGGGGATCTGGAAACAAGCATAGAGAAAAGGAGTCAGCACACTGTCTCCGGCCCTCTCTGATCTCCACTTTGAAAACAGGAAATCTTGGCTTACCTGGCAGCACACCAAGAAAATAAAGAGAGTGATAGCAGTCCATAGTACTTTCTCCTTAAACTGAATCTATGTAGAAGAGAAAGAAATAAGGTAATAAGTTATTTTTATAAGTAAAGTAATAAAAACGGACTCAGATCAGACCCTTTTCTCTATTCACCAGAAAAGTCTTAAACACTACAAACCATGTACCAAACATTAAGTGTTAAAATAGAAGTACATATACTACAGGCTTTCTATGTACAAGGCACATATGAAAAGACTTTCATATGCATCATCTTATTTGATTCTTGCACTACTTTAACAATGAGAAAACTGAGTTTTAGAAAGGCCCACAGCTGAAGAATGTTGCAATAGAAAGGGATTCCTAAACCAGGTAAGATCTTACAATATATGAGCTATCACCATTCATTTGAAAGGGCTTTGTAACTGACAAAATCTTGTTATTTTGGAGTCAACCAATTTGGAATTTGTGATTGCTTAATACATAGTATATTTTCTATAAATTAAGGGCAAAACAATGTGATAAACAAAATGGGGCAGGTGGGCAGGGAGAATTGCAAGTTTAACCTAGTTACTAATTACTGGTTGCATTTATCTAAGACTTTTCACATCTCTTCAGGTATGTAAGTAGGATACACTTAAGAATCATTTTATAGATGTATAATAAGAATCATTAAAAAAGTTTAGATGCCCTGCCCAAGGCCCCTCTGGTACTAAGTAGTAGCGTGGGAATTCTTCTGTATCTTCTGCCTTTATTATTTATTTATTTATTTTTATCCTCACCCAAGGACATTTTTCCATTTTTTGTTCAGATAGAGTGGGAGGGAGAGAGAGAGAGAGAGAGAAACGTCAATGTGAAAGGGACTCATCGAGTGGTTGCTACCCACACGACCCAACCAGGGCCGGGGACAAACTGCAATCGAGGTACATGCCCTTAGCAGGAACCGAACCCAGGCCTCTCTGGACCGCAGGCTGATGCTCTAACTGCTGAGCCAAACTAGCCAGGGCTGGATCTTCTGCCTTTAAAACTCAGTGTCTTCATTAGTACTTGCTGCCAACACTGCAAAAAATGGCTTTAGGGGGCTTAGAAAACACAGTAATATTGTGCAGACTAAGGATCTTTAAATGGAAATGTCTTGTAAGTGACAGTGTTAGGTGAACAAAACTGTGTTCTTAAAATACTTTTTAATTTGAGGGGAAGAGAAGTCTAAGCAAGCACCAACCCAGAGTCCTGGCCCTCTGGTCAGAAGTTCTAGTCTTCTGTCTACTACTTTAGGCCACGATAACACAACCACATAAAGGTGTTGTGAATTCAATGTTCAGATACTATATGTAAAATTTGGTGAATCCACAGAACTCTTCCTCCTCTTCAGAATGCTCCCCTTTCCACCGGTCATCACAATACACCAAGGAATTAGGAGGTCAAGGGAAGGCAACATCACTTAACGCTAACCAGTAACATAGCACGCTTGTACTAAAATGATTCTTTTTTATTTTTTTTTATTCTCACCCGAGGACATTTTTCCATTTTTTGTTCAGGTAGAGTGGGAGGGAGAGAGAGGAACAGAGAGAGAGAAACATCGATGTGAAAGAACACATCGAATGGCTGCCACCCGCACGACCAACCAGGGCCGGGGACAAACTACAACCGAGGTACGTGCCCTTAGCGGGAACCCAACCCGGGTCTCTCTGGACCGCAGGTGGATGCTCCAACCGCTGAGCCAAACCGGCCAGGGCAAATGATTCTTTTTTAAATCCTCACCCGAGAATATGTTCCCATTAATTCCTAGAGAGAGGGGAGGGAAGACAGAGGGAGGAGGAGGAAGGAGACAGGTGGGGTGGAGAGAGAGAGAGACACACTGAAGTGAGAGAAACATTGGTTGGTTGCCTCCCGTATGTGCCCCAACTGGGGATTGAACCTGCAACCTTTTGGTGTATGGGATGACGCTCCAACTAACTGAGCCACCAGCCAGGGCTGAAATGATTCTTCATGAGAAAAAAGAGTGAGCAATTAAAAAAAAAAGGTTTTTCTTGATTCTTTTTAGAGAGAGAGAGAGAGATAGAAACATTGATGTGAGGGAGAAACATTGGTTGGCTGCCTCCTGCACGCCCCCTTCTGGAGATCAAGCCTGCAACCCAGGCATGTGCCCTGATTAGGAATCAAACAGGGACCTCCCATATCACTCAATCCACTGAGCCAAACGGGCCAGGCAAGTGTTGACAATTTTTACAAGACTCCTCATTTGTTCATAACCAAGTTGTTCATGGATGCAGCCAAATTCAACAGTGAAACATCAAAAGCTGTTTATCCAAGTCTCGTCTGCTCTACCTTTTTTTTTTCTTTGGTCACCTGAGGATATTTTTCCATTGAGTTTCAGAGGGAGTGAAGGGGTGGGGGGTGGGGGGAGAAACATTGATGTAAGAGAGACACATTGATTGGTTGCCTCTAGTACGAACCAGACTGGGGTCCAGGTATGTGCTTTTGACCAGGAATCAAACTTGAGACCCTTTGGTCCAAGGGCTCTAACTGCTGAGCCAAACCAGCCAGGGTATGTCTACTTCACCTTTTAAACAGCCCCTAAATCTATCCTTATCTCTTAGCCTACTCCCATATTTCACTCTCTATTGTAAAAGCCTCTAAACCACTCCAAACCTCTACCTTACTTCCAAAGCAATTTTCTAATCTGTCTGACTCCTACTGCTCCCCACCTACTACTCTTTATATTCTATTGATACTAAATATACCTAACACTCTCCAACCTGCCTGTCTTCATTGCCTTTGCACATTATATATTTCTTATGCCTGGAATTCCTTTCCTTCACTTCAAGAAAACGTCTGTCTTTCTTTCAAAACCATCATGAGATATCACATCTTCCAGAGTTAATCCCTTCTGAAGCCACTGCTATACCTTGCACATATTTTCACTGCTCCATCTATCACATAGCTACAAGGCCAATTAATGTCACACAGTAAGAGGTTGAGTGATGTGTGGGTCCCAGGCTTGCTGGTTTCCAGAGTCATGAACGTCCTTTCTACTACTATGTTGGGGGGTGGGGTGGGGGGAAGAGCTTTGCATATTGTCCATCAAAGGCAGTAAATATTTGGGGCATTTATACGAAACAGTTTTATGTCCAAAAAAAGAAAAGCCACTCCAAGAACTCAAATGTCCATGTTTATGTCAAGTACACGTATGTGAATGCATGAACAAGAGTCTGAAAAAAAATGTGAAGCCCTGGCCGGTTTGGCTCAGCGGTTAGAGCATCGGCCCGCGGTCCTGAGAGACCCGGGTTCGGTTCCCGCTAAGGGCGCGTACCTCGGTTGCAGTTTGTCTCCGGCCCTGGTTGGTTGTGCGGGTGGCAACCACTTAATATGTGTCCCTTTCACATCGATGTTTCTCTCTCTCTGTTCCTCTCTCTCCCTCCCACTCTATCTGAACAAAAAGTGAAAAAATGTCCTCAGGTAAGGATAAAAAAAAAAAAAAAGTGAAGACAAAATATATTACTATTCTTTAAGAACCCAGTGAAACGTCTTCATTGTCTGGCAGCTTTACTTACATTGGCAACAGTCACTATCTTGGCCTATATGTAGTAGCAGAACTTCTGACAAAGATTCAATATAAGTTTACATTTCTATTTTCCCATGTTTTAATGTGCCCGCTGTAAAAAGCAGGATTCACAAAATGCCTTTACTCTAATTTGGCAGTCTACATAAAAAGTTTTTGTACAGAATACAGTGACTACTCTTAACTCCTTCTAGCAGCTGGCTACAAAGAGCACTTCCTAGAACAAATCCAACTCTCATTATCTACTCCTGTTGGAGGTAAAGAGGGAAGGGTAACTCAACCTGAGTATCCTGAGGCTTTTGAGGCCTTACTCATTCACTGCCACGATCAATTTTTGGGACAAGGCAAACTGGAGCTTTGTTCACTGGAGTAACACCCACAAAAGATTCTCTGAATAAAGTACGATTATTTAGGTGGAAATTCTCACACAAGAAGATCATCTTTCCACAAAGCTCAGGAGTACACACTACTATGCTCTAGACTCTAGAGGAAGATAAGGGAGAGAGATCTTCCATTGGCGTGTTGAAGTCATTTTTAATTGTACTGTAAACTTCAAGCACCCAGTTTCATGAAGCCTCCTTTGACAGCGATTTTGGGTACTTACCTTTCTCTCCGGCTTCTGAATTTCTGGCAAGATGACACAGAAAGGCTTGATGACTTCCAGAAATTTGACTGTGAAGGGAGAAATTAAAAAAGAGTTAGGGCGCAGAGAACCTTCCGCGATAGCTGGGTAAGCCTTCCACCCAAGTTGTGTTGGGGCAGGGGGGCAGGCTTCAGTACCGAGACGCGAGGGGGATCCCAAGGGCCTGGGATCCCAGCAGGCCTGGCGGGCGGGCACCTGCCTGGACTGGTGAGGGGAAAGGGAAAGGGAAGGGGAAATGTGATCCATCCCGGCGGAGCCAGGGCTGCCCCTAGGGACTCACTCGCCATGGCGTCGGCTGCACGGGTTCCCGGTCCTGCTTAGGCTCCACTTCGCTCCGCGTGAGGTGGCGCTGCTCGCGGCCCACCCTGAAACAGGGCGCAGCACCTCCGCGAAGAGACACGTCAGTGAAAGCACCGGGGTGAGCGAGGAGGGGCGGAGCCAGGACTGAGTGCAGGCCGTAGGACTCTTCCGCTTCCTGCCACGCGCTGAGGGCTGGCCCCCGTGCCGCGCCGCCACGGCAGAGACCACAACTCCCGGCATGCAGTGGGGCTCCCGGGGCCTGTCCCGAAGATGATGCTCAGCTCGCGGGGCGGGGCGGCGCGGCGCGGCGCGGCGCGGGGCACGCGGAGACTGGGACTGTGGCTGAATCGACTTGGCAACGCGAGAGCGCGTGGGGAAGGAAGGATTTGTCACATCACAGGAAACAGAAGCGGTGCCGGTTGGTGGAGAAACCCTTTGAATCAGTGAATAGACTGTAAACACATTTGAGCAGGCTGTGCCCCAGCGCGGACCACAGTTCCGGCACCTAGTAGGTACTTGGCTCGAGGGCCGGACACCCTCATTAGTAAGGTCTTTAGCAAACCCGGAGGCCTGTCCTGGGCCCCAGAAATGACTCCTGCCCAGCCCCTGCCATTTGAGGACGAATGAGTTGAGTGCACAGAGAGATAGAAGAGATGGGGCAGCTAAAGAAATGGGCTGGCTCACTAGGGGATCCACGAAGGCCTCCTGGAGTAGTTTAGTTGCTTTGGTGCCAAACTCAGACGGATTCCGGCGAAAAGAAACGAAGGAAGGTGTTCCCAAATGAGGAAACCGTTGTGAGGAAGACACGGTGTGTGACTGCTTAAGATCTGTGGGGAAAGAAGTCCTGTTTGGCTGGGGTGAAGGCTATGTGAAGGAAAACAATAAGATTTAGTGTTCGTGGACTAATGGGTAGGGCAAGGGGTGTTAGAAGGGGAGTTTGCATTTATTTTTGATGCATCTGTAATCAAGGGTAACATGTAAATAAAATAATCTAAAAGAAAGGGACTTCTGTGAGCATTACATGAGGAAGTGGTGGGCACTACTGGCTGGGGATTAGGGAAGGTTTTTATGGAGCTAAATCCTGACCTGGACCACTAGAAGTTGGAGGTGCAGAAGTGACAAGATGTTTTTTTTTTTTTTTTCAATAATATGAAGGATTGCTTTTTTTTTTTTACTTTCCCCTTCCTTCCCATTTCTAGCAGGTAGCCAAGATTTGTAAATCCCTTTTCAGGATTTTGTAGGACAGGAACTCCTTGTTTTTCTTTAAAAAAATGTATTGGGGTGACACTGATTAATAAGATACATGTTCCAAGTGTACATTTCTATGATATATGATCTGTATATTGCATTGTGTGCCCACCACCCAAAGTCAAATTAATCTATCATCACCATACATTTGGCTCCTTTACTAATCACCCCCTTTCCCTCTGGTAACCATTATATTGTAGAAGTCTTTTTTTCAAAAACTAACCCAGGGATGAAAAATTCAAATTACTACAGGAGGCAGGTAGATAACTTCCATCAGTAAAGTGGCTCAGGTGTGACATCACTTGCTACCCATCCTCTGCACAAAAAATTAAGCATGGATTACTGTTCCAAAGCTGCTTCTGAATGCAGCCCCATCTTTCCATTTAGGAACCATTGATGATCTGGAGTTTTGGCCAGAAGCTAAAACTGGTAGCCCCTGGATTAAATTCAGCAGATAGACCAGAGCTGACATTTATATACCCTGCACCATATTGATGGTAAAAATATTGAAATACTTCATGGTAAATAATTTCATAGTAATTATGTTATATGTTAAAGTTAATATAAATTTTAATATAAACTCACTGGTTTGTACTAACAGGTTTAGGATATAGTACTACAGAAACTGGGCCTCCTGTTCTAGTGACATTTGAGAAACATGGATGACATAGTTTTGCCTGTGTCACCAAAAGAACTGTGTTAACAAAAAACTGATTGCTTTAGGAGAATCACTAGCTTATAATAATTTTGTTTGTACATCGGAAGAAATTGAAAAGTTTCATATATTAAATATTTGAAAACTTAAAACTCCCCCAAATGTTATCAAAGTGAGAATAAAGCAATCAAAAAGACTTGGAAGGCACTATTGGAATTTTTAGCACTATATAATAAAATAGAATTCATTTCTACAAAAATATTTACTAGAACTTATAAAGGAATAATATTGATATAGACATGGGTACTATGGACCCACTTGTTATAAAACAGGTGTACTTCAATGAGAAAACAACTTTTTGGAAAACATAAGGCAATACATTTTATTTTTTATTTTTTTAATTTTATTTTTGTTACAGATGTTTCTCCTTTTTTACTCCATTGACACCCTACTCCCCATCCCCCCCACCTGGTCCCCGGCTTTGTTGTCCATGTCCGTTGGTTATGCGTATATGCATATAAGTTCTGTGGTTTATCTCTTCCCTCCCCTCACCACCTCCTCTTCTGAGGGTTGTCAGTCTGTACCCTACTTCCATGTTTCTGGGTCTACCCTATTACTCAGACTGTTATGTTCATTATTATCCACAAATAAGTGAGATCATGTGGTATTTGTCTTTTTTTGCTTGGCTTGTTTAACTTTCCAGGTCCCTCCATGTCGTCTCAAAGGATAAGAGATCTTTCTTTCTTACCACTGCATAGTACTCCATTGTGTATGTGTATCACCGCTTTTTTATCCATTGGTCTACTGATGGACATTTGGGCTGTTTCCAGATCTTAGCTATTGTAAATAGTGCTGCTATGAACAGGGGGGTACGTATATTCTTTCTGATTGGTGTTTCAGGCTTCTTAGGGTATATTCCTAGAAGTGGGATCACTGGGTCAAATGGAAGTTCAATTTTTAATTTTTTGAGGTAACACCATAGTGTTTTCCACAGTGGCTGCACCAGTCTGCATTCCCACCAGCAGTGTACTAGAGTCCCCTTTTCTCCACACCCTCGCCATCACTTGTTGTTTGATGATTTGTTGATGGCGGCCATTCTGACAGGTGTGAGGTGATACCTCATTGTTGTTTTAATTTGCCTCTCTCTTATGATTAGTGATGTTGAGCATTTCTTCATATGTCTCTTGGCCATTTGTATGTCCTGTTTGGAGAGGTGTGTATTCAGCTCCTCTGTCCATTTTTCAATTGGGTTCTTTCTGCTGTTTAAAAACATTTTTTAAATTAATTTTAGAGAGAGTGGAAGGAAGAGGGAGAGAGAGATAAAAACATCAATAAGAGAGAACATCAATTAGTCACCTACTGCATGCCACTCCTCCCCCATCCCACTGGGGATTGGGCCCACAACCTGGGCATGTGCCCTGACTAGGAATTGAACTGGCGACCTCTTGGTGCATGGGTTGATACTCAACCACTGAGCCACACCAGCGGGGCCATTCTGCATTTTTTGGGTGTAAATCTCTGTAAATATCAATTAAATTTATCTTATTTAGAACGTCATTTAGGGTCTCTGTATCCTTGTTAATTTTTTGTCCAGAGGATCTATCCAGTGATGTCAATGGGGTGTTGAAGTCCCCTATTATGATTGTATTGCTGTCGATCTCCCTCTTGAAATCCTCCAGATATTTAAAAATATATTTTGGTGCTCCTACATTGGATGCATATATGTTTACCAAGGTTATATCATCTTGTTGGTTGATCCTTTTAATAGTATGTTGTAGCCTTCTTTGTTTTTTGTATGGCCTTCATTTTGAAGTCTGTTTTATCAGATATGAGTATTGTTACCCTAGCTTTTTTTTTGTTTGTTTGTTTCTATTTGCTTGGAAAACTTTTTCCACCCCTTCAGTTTTATTTTGTGTGAGTCTTTTGCTCTGAGGAGGGTCTCTTGTAGACAGCACATATATGGGTCATGCTCTTTTATTCATTCAGCTACGCTGTCTTTGGATTGGAGTATTAATCCACTTACATTTAAGGTTTTTATTGCTATTTATATTTATTATGCCTATATTTCTTTCTTTCTGTTTCTTCTGCTTCTTATAGCAGTTCCTTTAACATTTATTGCAATGCCCATTTGGCAGTGATATATTCCTTTAGTCTTTTTCTCCCCTTGGGAAACTTTATTTCACCTTCTATTTTGAATGACAGCCTTGCTGGATAAAGTGGTCCTGGATTAGAATCTTTGTTTTTCATTACATTGAATTCTTCATGCCATTCCCTTCTGGCCTCTATTGTTTCTGTTGAGAAAACAGTGACAGCCATATGGGAGCTCCTTGGTAGGTAACCTGTTGCTTTTCTCTTGCTGCCTTTAAGAATCTCTCCTTGTGTTTAATTGTTGATATTTTAATTATGATGTGCCTTGGTGTGAACCTCTTTGGGTTCTTCTTGCTTGGGGCTCTCTGTGCTTCCTGAACTTTTTCCTTCACCAAGTTAGGGAAGTTTTCTGCCACTATTTCTTCAGACTTATACTTCCTTTTTAAAGTTCATTTTTAATTCCAAAGTATTGTGTTCAGAGAATATGCTTGGTATGATTTCAATCTTAAATTTGTTAAGGGTAGTTATGCTCTATCTTTGAGAGTATTCTATGTGCACTAGAGAAAAATGTATATAATCTGGTGTTCTGGGATGAAAGGCTCTGTAAATGTCAATTATATCCATTTGGTCTAATGTGTCATTTAAGGCTGATATTTATTGATTATCTGTTGGATGATTTATCCATAGCTGTCAATGGGTATTTAGGTTCCCTACTATTATTGTGTTTTTGTCAGCTTCTCCCTTTAGTTCTGTTAGTAGTTGCTTTATATATTTTGTTGTATTCTTATTGAGTGTATATATATTGAGAAATGTCTTCTTGATGCAGTGTCCTCTTTATCATTATGAAATTTTTATCTTTGTCTCTTGTTACCTCTGTTTATCTTGAAATCTATTTTGTCAGATATAAGTATGGCTGCATCTACTTTTCTCTGGATGCCATTAGCTTGGACAGTCATTCCCCACCCTTTCATTTTGGGTCTATTTTAGATTTTGCAGCTGAGGTGTGTTTTATGAAGGCAGCATAGGGTTAGGTTTTTTTTTTTTTTTTTAAAATCCAATCTGTTACCTTGTGCCTGTTTGTTTATTTATTTATTTATCAAATGTGATATTCCGTACCTCCTTTGAAAAAAA